CCAGTTGGCCGTTGGGCTGTGGCTAGGGGAATAAGGAATGGGAAAGGAGTTGCTGAAGTGGTAAGGGGTAAGGGGTGTGGGGTGTGGGGTGTGGGGTTCAAGCTTTAATTTGACTCGACTTGTTGGCCAAAATAGGTGGCAGACGGGCGCAGCGTTAGCGATTGGGGCAACAAATATCTGTTGTCATATTTCAGGGCACAGATTCCCCCAACTCACCCGTCTAGCCAAGTAGCTGGCCTACAGTCCTTGGTGCGGTCGAGCTAATTGATGGCGCTGGTAATTTGCCTGACCCACCCGGCGACAATGATGAGCTGAGAAGTGCGACACGCCTTTTACCTGCCTCCTTTCTTCCGCTTCCTCTCTCGCTCTCGCTCTATACCTTTTCTCTCTACAGCTTAAATTGCGCGAAACTTGAGACATTCACACACTCTGCCAGCTGCTCCCGCTCCTGCTGCTGGTCGTGCTCCTGGTTTTTACTCTGCTCTCATCTATTCTATTGCTTTCTTGGCCTTTTCAATTTCGCTGCGTTCCGATTGTCTCCAACAATTTCCATTGAGTTTCACTTTTGCCGCTCATTACACCTAATCGCATTACAGAACTTTCTACAGTCTTGCATATTGGTCCAAAGCTGTTCATTTCTATGCAAGAATCAGCCCTTAAATCATTTACACACTTGGGCAATTAATAATGGTAGCTCAATGCTTACAGGGTATCTTGGAGTCATGCTTAAGTATATCGAGCCGGTTCAGCTTGTTAGACTTTGATTACTTCGTGCGAATAGCTCGATTTTGTTGCTGCAACTGATTCACTGTTTGTCCGTTTGATTCTTATACCCTGCATTGACCAAGGAAAATAAGGGTATGCTAGACCTCAATCAAGCCTCAAATTCATTAAAGTTTAGTTTTTATATAGTATTGTGATTCATATACTCTGTCAAGGGATGGAGTCTAAGTCTTACAAATGTCAAAAATTTACAGGATATTTTTAGTCGTATATTAGCTAATGTGTAAGCGCAAAAGCACTTACAGCTTTTCTTATTTTAGTTATCAGCGCTAGTTTATTATTTAAGCGCTTTTAGCTTTTCAATTTATTTACAGGGTATCAGCTAGTCGTGCATTGAGTCAGTAGAGCTAATTTTATTAGCTGCTCAAATATGTCATATAAATACCGTTTAAAGTGTTTAGACTTTGATTTATTTCAACTGCTGCTTACAGGGTATTTTTCAGTCGTGCATTTGCTAAAATCAAGTTAAATTTATTTTTTGTCGCGACTTTCGGCTAAATTTCTCACAGCTATAAAAGAGCTGACGAGCTGATGGACAGCCAGTTGGCCGTTGGGCTGTGGCTAGGGGAATAAGGAATGGGAAAGGAGTTGCTGAAGTGGTAAGGGGTAAGGGGTGTGGGGTGTGGGGTGTGGGGTTCAAGCTTTAATTTGACTCGACTTGTTGGCCAAAATAGGTGGCAGACGGGCGCAGCGTTAGCGATTGGGGCCGGGGGCAGGCAGTCGAAGCGTTCCTCGCGTTAATTACGCGACTTTTGCTGCGGTCGACCATTTGCTGATTGCAGGACGCCGTCGTCGCCGTGTCAGCAGCGACGTCGGCCGCGGCACGCACGGCTGCCGGCCCGTCCAGTGTGTCCAGCGTCCGTGCGTCTGTGCAGTGTGACCAGGCTTAAAGGTCCGCCCACTACAGTTAGTCACGCCAATTTTATTGCATTGCTGCCACGACTCCTAGCCTAGGCAAGCGAGTGGGTGGGGTGGGTAGGGGAGAGGGGGGAGCTGTGACTATCAGTCGCAACAATGGCGGACAACAGTTTTTGGATTTCAAGCGGAACAATTAAGTTAACGATCTGCGGACATGAGGAGACAAGTGACAGAAATCGTGCCCCAGCCACGTGCGGTTCAAACACGCGAACGTGTTTTAAGCTAACGCACTGCCACGCCCATCATGGGCCATGGGGACGCCCACTTTAAATGCAGCTACAGCCGCCATGTTAAGGCTTTAAGCCGTACCATGCTCTGGGCCAAAATTCTTCAATTAGCCAAACGGCAAACTGATTAAATAAATTGCCATATTATGTGTGCTCAGCAAGGGGGGAGCGTGTACGGGCAAGGGGCAGGGTGTGGGGAGCGAATATGTAAAACCAGCTGCTTAACAAAAGCCAAATAGAAAAGAAACTATCAGCATGTCGCCGACCAAATACCCTTAACCAATTAAAATCAATCAGTCAGTCAGTTAATAGGTCGCTCACGCCATCACTCAGTCAATCAATCAATTTGTCGACCAATCCGTGTCAATCAGTTAAGCAATCAATCAGTCCTCCAGTACGTCAATTCTTTAGTCCCTCGATCAGTCAGTCAATCGCTCAAGCAGGCAGTCAATCTCTGTAGTAGCCATTGTATCAGCCAGTTGATCAATCTGTCTGTCAATGAATCAGTCAAGCAATCAGTCATTCCATCAGTCAAGCAGTCAATCAGTCCTCGAGTCAATCAATCACTCTAGCAGCCATCAATCAGTCAATCATTCAGTCAGTAGATCTATCTGTGTGTCAATCAATCAGCCAGTGAATTAATCAATCAGTCAGTAAAAGTTAAAACAAATAAAATGTAGGTTCGTTTAGATTTGGAATTTGGCTCAGAGTTAACTTCAATGTTAAATGAAATATGGCATTTTAAGGTTCGAACCGGCTTGCTGCTCAAGAGGTTTTCACTCTTAAATGGAAGCATGTCGGAGCTTGTAATTTGTGAGCTCAGATAAAAATACGTTTTCTATTAAATAAATGTAAAATATTAAATAGTGCTGGAATACATATATATATTATTATTATTATTATTAGCATATTATGCCAACTGTCAAATTGTATCACAAATTTTTAATATGCTCAGTTATACCCTTAAATGCGGGCGTGCCAGTGGGCAGTTGGGTATGGGTAAATGGGGGCGTGTCTGGCATTGCAAGAAGTGGACTTGAAAGTAAACAAAGTTTTAATTTCCTTCAATGATTTCTCTGAGCATTTGTTTTTTGGCGTGCGGGTTGGCGGGGAGGGGCAAAATCACTCAGTCAAGTAGCCGGCGAATGTGTGCTGTGTGTGTGTGTGTGTGTGTGGCGCAATGCTTAGCATCATAATCAAGTTAGATAAATCTAAATCCTTTGCGATAAGCGTCTAAAGAATACACCCGTCGGAGCATTGCCTTTCCGCAGCCTAGTACACAGCTCGCTCTAGCTAGCCAAAAGTTTCAGCTGTATGTGTGTGTGTGTGTGTGTGTGTGTGTGTGTGTGGCAGGGGTTGACTTGTGGGCGGGGCAGGGACAAGTTGAAGCAACGAATTAGAGCGCTCCTTCAATGCCGTTGCGAGTGAATAGAATTTGTAATTTCCGTATTCGTTTTGTATGCTAACCCATAGCAGCCCCTCCCCCCCACCACCCTTTCCAGCCCCTTCGGTGCCCCTCACCGACACGCCGTCGTCGCCGCCAGCTGAGCCTGCAGCACTTTAAGTGATGCCACAGCAGCACAATGAAACTGTTGAAGCTGCAGCATCCGAGGCTGCCTTTAAGGCTGGCTGCAGTTCAATTGGTTTCGGCCCGTGTCGGAGCCAAAAGCCAACAGCCAACAGTCCGGGCTGACCCGAAAAAAAATAAAATGGGAGTTGGAGAGGGGTTTGGGGAAGAGGAAACAAAAACCGGTTACGGATTTGGATTTGGCTAACGGTTCGGAATATGACGATGAATGCCACGAATTTTTTTTTTGCTGCTGCTGTCCGAATGCATTTAAAGATGAGAAAGGCTAGAGAGAAAGAGAAAGAAAGAGAGAGAGAGAGAAAGAAAGAGAGAGAGAGAGAGAGAGAGAGAGGAAGAGTGAGGGCGAGAGAGAGAGAGAGAGTAAGAGGAAGAGCAAGAGCTAGAGAAACCATTGAAACCATTTTCCATTTGCATTTCAAGTGAAACGTAAAAATTGATGGCAATGTGTACAGGGTATGCTGCACGGGGTATATGGGCACACACACCTTTGTGCCCGAGCAGGGTCCCCATTAGGGTCGAGTGAATGGCCGTGTGATAGCAGCGATAAGCAGCTGACCAAAGCAACGCCTGCCAGAGCTGTGACATCAGCAGCACGAGCCAAAGGCTTTAAGCCAAATGAAAACCAAATGAGGGCTGCGAGCCGAAAAACTAGACTTGCCAGCATTTCCCAAAAAAGAGAGACAAGATGATGTTTGCATGTGATGCATCCAGATCTGCCAAGCTGATTCTGTTTAGTAACTAAGGTAATACAACTGACACCTTAAACAATCAATAAAAAAATCAATAATCAAATAAAAGTAGTTGCTTTTAATAGTTAGTTATTTATTATAAGAATTGTGAGAAGCTCAAAAGACTCACGTCGTTCACACCATAAAATACAGCTAAATATTAAATATATGGCAAATATTCTTTAACGTCACATTCCAAAATCCCGACCAGGGCTGCAAGCCAACGCAAAAATCAACTCTGTCGTTCGGTTCACGGTTTGAACGAACGTTCCGGCCCTAAGCTACGGCTCGTATTACAAATTTTTCGTACTCTTGAAACCAGAGTTCAGTTCGCAACATTGATTTACCATCTATTTGCATACTTTAATTGAAATATTCACAAATATTCTCTGCTCAAAAGTTTCTTCTTGTGAACCAGCTCATTTTTGAACACACAAGTAGAGTTTTAGTTCAGCACTGTCTAGGAAATTAATTGAATAATTATTAAAGATAGCTAGAAGGTAGAAACAGACAGATGTTGATGCTGATTAATAATATATATGTATATATATATATATATATATATATATATATATATATATATATATATATATATTATACCCTCTGCAAGGGTATTCAGAGGGATATTTAACTTTTAATGCATGACTTGTAAATATTCTAGCTTGCGTTCAAATCAAACTGCAGTCAGGGAGGGTAGGCCTTTTGGTGGTATAGTTGCAATGGGATTTATTCTATATACTTTTTAGACTTACTTACCTCTTAAGCGGGAAATAGATTTAAGTACAAACGGGTTTCATCTCTCTTCCTCTCTGTCGCGCGGCCCTGCCTACACTGTGTGTGGCTGCTTAGTTGGGCCGTCGGCGTTTCCGGCGGCGACGCCAGGCGATGTGACTGTGGCTGAGCAGCTGGGCAAGCCGGGCGGCCAAAAGGCGGGCATATCGCCACTCAACACAGCTGGCAACGGCAATCAGTAGCATGGCATTGAGGCCCAGGGCCAGGCTGGCCGCCGAAGAGCCAAGATTACCCTTGGTCAGCTGGTCGGCACAGCGTCCGATCGCATCGATATCCAGTTCGCTCATCACCCGTCCGTTCACCTCCAGCGGCGAGATGCAGTAGTTCTTCTGGAGAAAATCGCTCAGATTGTGTGCACCCTCGGCGAGGGGCCCGTCGAGCAGGGTGTGTATGTGACAGCCGCAGGGAAAATGATTGTTCACCAGCTGCAGATGATCAACGCCATCGACAATGATGGCATTCGGATCGGGCGTCTCCAGCACATGATTGCCATGGAACTTGAGATGTTTGATGGCCGCCGTATTTGTAAAGTTCAGCTCCTCAATTGAGTCGATCTTGTTGTTCAGTATCTGCAGCGTCTCCACCTGGGTGAGGCCCGTAAAGGCGTCCGCACAGATGACGCCCAAATCGGATTCCTGAAGCGTCAACAGCAGCACATTGGACAGACCGCGAAAAGTGAACGGCGAAATCTCCTTCAGATCCATATAGGCCAGCTTGAGCAGCCCGACCGCATCCATGCCAAAGAACGCGTCCTGCTCGATGCTCCTGATGCCCGATGGCAATATCAAATGTCCCACATTCGTCAAACTAGAGAAGGCCGAACTCTCGATCCGTATCAGCGGATTGTTGCTCAGCAATATCAGCTTTATGTTCGAGGTGCCCGCAAATGCATTGCCCTCGATCCGCTGGATCTGATTGTGACTGAGCAATATGGTCGACAGATTCTGCAAGCCCGCGAATGCGAACTGTGCCACCATCTGCAGCGGCGTATACTGTATGGATAGCTCCCGCAGCCGGGGCAGACCCCTGAACGCGAACTGTTTGATTCGCGTAATATTGTTGCCGTCCAGCGAGAGTTTCTTCAACGCACGCAGGCCGGCAAACGAGTCCGGCTTGATGATTGGAAAGTTGTTTTTGGTCAGCGCCAGGTTCTCTACGGTTGCCGGCAGCTGGCGCAGCGGTATCTGCTCGAGTCCGCCCGTGTTACACAGCACCTGCAAGACAGTGGTGGATGAAGAGGGGGAGAGAGTGAGATGGGTAGAGAGAGGCGAAGAGAGGGAAGAAATGTTAGTCAATTTTGAGGCGAAAATTGAATTTGCGGCTTTATTGCTGCAAATAAAATTAAATCGTATTTTTTTTTTTCTTGTTGCTCTCTCTCTCTTCATTTCTTGTCACACTCTGTGCAAATTCAAAATGGGGTATGCTGTTTCTTTCAGAGACAATGCACTTTTTTATCGATTACTTTTCCCGTTTCCAGCGAATCGATAGATATCGATTTGGAGTCTACGCTTATATTGGGAATTATACGAGCTTCTTACATGACATTTATTTTTGAATTCGATAAATATCGACTTACTCCCAAACCTTTTTAGCATACCTCGCAACGAATGGCAGCAGCAAATGCGGTATATATGTGTATAATATAGAGCATAGACTAATCAATTTTGTCGATTAATTATAGAATTATTGAAAATCGATAAATATCGAATCGAATATCGCTTTGTTTATAGGGTATCCGCTAGTCGAGCATGTTACGCGGCTTGTCTAATGCTTTGCCGCTGCTGCTGCTTCGTCTTCTGTTTTGTAGCTGCGTTTCAATTTTTTCGGCGTTCTTTTTAATCAACCTCGGTTGGCCCTACTTGCACACACACACACACCCTCTCCTCCTTCCCCATACCACACTCCCTTCCGCCCAACATTGTTTTGTGTTTTGCGTTTTGGCTCGCGCATTTCGCGTCGCGTCTCTGCTTTGCGCTTTAATTTTTTACAACTATTATGTGCTGATGTGTGCGTTTGTAGAGAGGGGACCTCAGCCCCCCCTCTTTGCGTCTTCCCCTCCCCAGCACAACATCCCGCTCATCATAGTCATCGCAACAATGTCCGCTCCAGCCAATCCTCCTTCCGGTTCATCCTTCTGCTGCCTTATCTGTTCGTCCTTCTGCCCGGCCATCTGTCTATCTGCCGTCGCGTCGCGTCGCGTCGCGTCGCGTCGCTTGTCGCTGTCACGTTGATGTCATCGTTGTCTGTCCCCCTATGCCGACCCCGCGCCCAGCTCAGTTGCCCTTCGCTTTTACTGTCCATCATTGCATACCCCTCTATCCAGGCGTTAGACTCTAACCCCCACTTCCCACCCCCTGCATTTCCCTTTGTCCGAGTTGCGTAACATTTACACAATTTTCATACGCTTCACCTTTTAAATGAACGAATTAAAAGTTTCATTTCTTGCAGTTGCCATCTCTACTTCTTCTTCTTTTTCGTCTTCATCTGCTTCTTCTTTGTTTGTGTTTTTCGTTTAAGAGTTGTTTATGTGCATGCTTTGTTGTCGCATGCCCCAACGTTTCGTTTCAATACGTTTCGCTGCATTACATTCCGCATTGTTCCATTCCATTGTATATCCCGTAAACCCTATATACCCTGTCCGACGCCTCAAACTCGGGAACGATAAGAGCGTGAAACCCCCAAATTAGTTATGTGAGCCTCGTCTAAAGATTGCAAATATGAATATTTGTGCAGTTCGGGAAGCCTATTTATATTATTTTTCTTGTAACTTTTTATAAATTTATTTTCTCGTTCAATATCAACATTCAAACTGTTCGTAATCGAACGAATCGAGCTGCTAAATAAAAAACAAACTCTCGAAATTCGAAGAAAACCTGGCCATAAATAAACCTATCCGAGTCAGGTATGTATTTGCCATGGGAAAACCTTGTCAGCTTCTGGCATTTGAAGCGTATTTAATTTTCGGTACGCCGCAGAAGGCAGCCTTGCTTGTTATTTGTTTTGTTTGGGCTTTTCTTTCTTGTTCGATTTAATGAAATTTCGTATTCGCAACAGTAAAATCAGCGACACATTTTTCAGCTTTTCACACTTTTCACGCGCCGCGGACCCGGCCCGGCCCCGGCTCCGGCCCCGGCCTCAAGCTGAACTCGAATTGGCCTCAAAGTAGGCAACACCTGACCTGCAAGTACAACGAATCTTAAGTACAGCAAGGACTTTGCCAGTTCGCTTCAATTTATTTACGCTTTTTGTTTTGTTTTTCTGTCTTTTTTTTTTGTCATTTTAATTTTTTGGGTTTTTCTTGCCTCTGACGGGTTGTTGTCTTGTCGAGTGCTGAGTAAATCATTTCATTGTTCATAATCTGGAATAATGAAATCACTTAAGTTCTCAATTCTGTAAAAATGACGATGCCAGCAGCGCCGAGCGCTGAGCACCGAGCGCCCTCGGCCCCATTGGTAATAAGGATGCGCATTAACCGAGGCGTGGCAAGGGGACGCGGACTGCCTGCTTCTGCCTGCAGCTGGCCGCAAAATTCTCACGGGAGACAATTGAATACGAGGCTGGCAAACACACACAACAAAAAAAAAATTAAATAAAAATGAAAGAGTGTGCAACAGTCGAGAACAGCCCACTAGCAAATACCCTATGCACACAAGAATCGCATAAAAACATTAATTGTACAGACATGGAAGTGCGTTAAGCGATGTTGAAGTCAAAATTGTTAAATAGAAAGGTAACAATTTTGCAATTTAGTAGTGGAATAGTTGACGCAGTTTAGCAAGCGCTTAAGTCTAGAGACTCGTGTAGTATATTTGCAAGTTATTTCAAAAACGTGCAATATGCCTTAAGAGAAACGAAATTCCAAATTCTATAAGCGTAGCTCCTTTAATTCTTTAGATATGCGACCTTAAATCGATGAATATCGAAAACAGATGGTTATCGAAATTCGATAGTTGACGATTTTTAATTATGCTGTGGATCTCTAAGAAATGGTCAGAAACGCAGCCTGAAATCGGTAGTTATCGAAATTCGATAGTTATCGATCTTCAGCAAGCATGAGCTGTATATCGCGACCTGAACTCGATAGATATCAAATATAAATATAATATAATATAAGATGCTAGATTTCAACTATGTGTCTGTGGCTATCAGAGTTTCCAGAACCGGCTTTATTTTATTATCGATAGCTATCGATTGCGTGCACATTACTCAACGTGTTATCGAAACAAAATTGCAGCTCCTATGGCCAAGTATATATCGGTTACTCGTTGCTTCGATCTGGCATGGATATTCACGTGCAGTATATACCTTTGTTTTTGGGCACATTTGCCATGGGTGCAGGGTATGAAATGTAAGAAACGGCACTGGGAGACGGACAAACGGACGCACGAAGCGAATGTAACAAGTGGAATGCGCCTGCCCCCCCACCTCCTCACCTCTTTTTCAGCCCAACCCAGTGTGGATGCAGTGTGGATTTGAAACAAAGGGAAATGACCATTTTTCCCAGCATTTTCGATTTAATTTTTTTTTGTTCGTGCTCATCACTGGGCGCAGAAAGCAGCTGTGCGCAAGTGTATGTGTGTGTGCGAGTGTGTGTGTGTGTGTGTGCGAGTGTGTGTGTGTGTGGCAAAGAGTCTGACCAGGCCGGGGATCCCCCAGACGAGCTCTTTATAGGGCAGCAGCTACAGTTTTCTTTGCTTTAGCTGATGCTGATGATGTTGATGATGATGATGATGATGATGATGATGATGATGATGATGATGATGATGATGATGATGATGATGATGATGATGTTGCAAACAGCTAACAACTATGAAAACTACAAGTGGAACAACTACAAAGAGCAAGCGAGAGCAGGGGCAGAGAGAAAGAGAGAGAGAGCGAGCGAGTGTCAGTGTGGGGAGTGGAGGTAAGGGAGAGACATTGTTAAGCTTACTTGAGTCTGGGACAAGCAGATGCACTCGGCTGGGCATGATTTGGATGTTTCGGTTTGTTGCGAGTTCCACAGGCAGACAACAGTGAGCGCAATTATGAGCAGCAGCCAGGAATTGCACATTTCACGTTGTTGCTGACACGACAGTTTGGCGGCGTAATTGAGCTCGATTCACTATCTCGCTTGCACACACTGGCAACAGCCAGCCAGACGGACGGACGGACGGCGGCACGGACGGACAGACAAACGAACGGCCCAAGTGCTGCTGCTGCTGCTGCTGCTGCTGCTGCTGCTCCCCAGCTGCCAGTTGGCCTTTTGCCTTTGGCTCGTTGCGTTTTGGCCGCAGTTGCTGCTGCTGCTGCTGCTGCTATTTCCTCTTCTTCGTCTTCTTCTTCTTTAGCTGCTGGTGCTGCTGCTTACTTATTTATGTTTTTATATTGCGTTATTTCATTTGAACTTTCTTTTTATATATTCTTTAGCTTAATCATATTTATTTATGCTTCTGCTGCTGCTGCTTTCAGGGGTGTCCGACGTTCTGCTTCAACTCCTACACTTGCTGCTGTAAAGAGAATTAGAGAGAGAGAGAGGGAGAAAGAGAGGAAGAGAGAGAGAGAGCGTTAGTTTGTTTAAGAAATGACAATTGTGCGAGTTTCATTTGCAGCTGCCAGCAATGCGACATTTAAAACTTGTGACTTACTAAAAATACAAATAACTATATAGATGCATATACCTAAACAAACGGAAAGCCTATACACAACCAAAGAGAGAGCGAGAGGACGCGATAGAGCAAGAGAGCTAGGGGAGAGAGAGAGAGAGAGAGGGAGAGTAACGACTGGCATGCAAAATTGATGCGCAGCTTAGAAGCTGTAGACAGCAACGGGCTATGTTTTGAGTGAGGGGTTAGGTTGGAGGGGGCAGCCAGTTAGATCGACAGTTGGCATGAGCCAGGCACCTGGCTGCGGCTCAAAGCCTCTGCTCAAGCTCAGTGCTTAGCTGTTAAGCCCACTGCCCAAAACTCCAGGCCGGGCAAAAAGGCAAAGGCCGCATTGCCGCTGACGTTGATGTTGATGTTGGCTTTGAGCCTGGGCACTTGGTTCTGGCTGGTTGGCTAGCTGGCTGGCTGGCTGGCTGGCTGTCAGCTGCTGCTGGCTTGGCCAAAATAGCTGCTTGTTAATCTTCAATAATAAATAAGTAATGCAAGGTGGACGTCAAGTTGCAGCTGCTTGCAAAAACGACAACAGCAGCAGCACAACAACAAGGACAAAGCCAATGCAATATAATAACTAAAATTGCTCTAAAGAGAATTTGCGATGAGGCGTCGCTGCTGCTGCAGATGGCGGTTGGCGAGAGGCGTATTTGGGTCGTGGAGGGGGGTCGGGTTTGGTGCTGTTTGAAATGTTTAAATGCACAAATCAAATATGCAAGCAGCCAAAATGACAAACAGGCAAACATGCACCTGATGTCCAGCTGAGCTGCGTACTGGCTTTTAATTGAACACTGAGCAAAGGACTAAGCAAAATGCCAGACATGCACAGAGACACACAATGAATGAATGAAGCGGGCAATGCGGGGGGTAGAAGGTTAACAAAATGTTTGGCTCAGCAGACACAATAAATATGCACAGGCATAAATGCGTGACAATATAATTGGAGCGACAGCAAATACGGCGTGTGAGTGAGAGTGAGGCAGCAGGATAGCCAGCACGCGCTTAAAGCACACACGTTGCGAAGTTGAAAGTGGGAGCAGGAGCGCAAGTGTGTAGAGCCGATCTGCCGCCATTCATAAAGTAATCCAGTTAGCATGATGGCCGCTTGCGGAGAGCGCTCAAGACTGAGCGTTGGAGAGAATGTGTGGAGTGTAGAGTTTCGAACTGCTGTGGATTGAAGCAGCAGGAGAGAAGAGAGATTATTATGTATGGCTGTTTAGTGTGCATGCTGTTAAGCGCGAGAGCGAGAGTGGAGACTGCTGCTCAGTGTAGAGTGCTTGCAGATTTGTGTGTTGTATGCGAGCTGGCAGCCATCTTTGTTAAACACGCTCATTAGCTGACGGGCAATAAATAGCTTAAGAGTGAGCGAGAGAGAGCTATGCTGATCTGCTGTCAAAGAGAGACAGTGAGAGAGAGAGAGTGGAAGAGCTTTAAGACGTATGCGTGTATTTTTGTATGTTTTACGCTGACGGCCATCTTTGTCACGCAGCGTGACATCTTGCCAGCCACTGGGAAAACCCTCTGTCAGTCACTCTAGCAGTGTGTGTGTGTGTGTGTGTGTGTGTAAGGTGGCTGCAACTGAAGCTATGGGGATGCGCTGCGACGCGTACCTCACACAATCGCATTACGTCCTGATCTAAAGGGATAAAAGCTAAATAACAAATGCCGGCACAAGCTCAAATAATGCACAGACAATTGTGAAAGCAGCAAAAGACAGCAGCCAAATAGCAACAGCAAAAAGAGCCAGAAGAATAACTCTAACAACAACAACAAGAAATGCGCTGGCAAAAGGAATCACAAATGTGGCAACAAAAGCAGACACCAGAAAACAGCTTAGTGCAACAGCCAGCCAGCCAGTCGAGTTGCTTACTGCATGCGATATGTGGCACGGATAGCGGGGCGCGGTGTCGAGCAACTGCAACCGACGTAAGAGAGAGATAGAGTCGGGGAGGGGGGCAGGGACTGGACAATGTGCGACTACTTGGGCAGCTAATCAATCAATTTTACTCAACATTCTATTGAATTAACACAGTCGGCAGACATTGCCAGTGTCTAGCCCTGGGCAGAGCTTTCTTATCGTTTGGCTGTGTCATCGTTTAAGCCAACATTATAGCCAATTAGTAAATAGATTTAACGTTAAGACATTGCTTAAGACATTACAAAACACAATACAATATTTATATGGCCAGCTAACAAACGCAAAACATATGCAGATGGATATTCAATTGATGCAACCCACAAACATCCTTTTTGCCCTTTCACTGACTAATTTAGTGGAAGGACACGCATTAAATTTAACACATTCAATTGATGCGATTTGCTGACCTATTTCGTATTTATATACAATTTTTCGTTTACCTCTCTGGTCATTAATTAATTAGAGCGCACGAAATCCAAAACCTAAACTAACGTAAAAAAAAAAAGAAGGAAAGAGATATTCTTCTACAGCAAGTCGGAAATTTAATACCCTTGTCGGCATTTGTCTTAAGGAAAGATTGAAGCTCGCTGAGTTTGTTGAAAATATCTTTAAAAGCAGAATAATTTGCCAAAAAAAAACAAAAAAAACTATCTAATATACATATGGATGCGAGTTGGCTCACATAAATTAAACAAGCTGGTCAAGATATCTTGGAAAGCAAAAAGGTGTTCTCATACAAGAACCGACTTTTCGAAACATCTGCCCTAGGGCAGCTATAGTGCCTCGATGCTGTCAGAAAGAGACAAGCTTGCACTAAATTGATGCTGATCTAGCATATATAGTATATATACTTAAGGGCATCGAAGATGTCTTCACAAATCATGACAAGACTGGATGTCCCCTAGAAGGGTATCAGAAGTGTCTGGCTAATACTTCCCTTTTTCTCTGTATATTATGCAGCATTATCCATGCATATAGCGTATTTTGAGGCACAATTTTGTTGTCAATGTAGTTTGGGAACTGGATAAGCCTTGAAGCCAGGTATTTGGGATGGGATACCCTATCGATATACGTTCCACAAGAGCTAGAAGCTGCCCTTGGAAGAGTATGTTCTCCTACTCCGATAACTGACACGTGATATCTGATAAAAATAAAAATAACTCTGGCATAACGAATGAAACTTTTGGTTTATTTTATACGCTCAAGTCTTTAAAGAGCTCTGCGACTAATTCTACTGGACGGAAAGGCTGAAGGATCTAGGCTTGCATTTGCGACAGTGAAAGTTGCGTCGAGAGTGTGCAAAATGTGTGCATGAAATATTTGCTGCTCTCTTTAAAGGCAGCAAATTTGTTGGCTTTAAATGTGCTTAAGTGCGCCAAGTTTTGAAATGAAAGCGTAATCAAATAAGCTGCAAGCACGCCGAAAAGTGTTTTATTTCAGTTCAGACTCTGCGCATATGCCATTGCGTGCGTATCAAATGTCGACGTCGGGCGTCGAGGCCAAAATCAAAAGCACACTTTAAAGAATTTGGCAAAACTTTAAACTGTTGTTGAACAAACCTTTAAGCCCACGACAATTGACTGTTTGACGGGCCGAGTCGGATTATCGGGCCGGGACGCTGTGTGAGCTCATGAGTTAATGTCCGTTTCACGAGTCAAATAAATATCGTTAAATGGATAAGCAAAGAAGCCAGCAAATAGAATTATTTTTGCCACGCAGCACACAAGACCGCAACCAGAACCAGAAACCCGAACCAGAAACCCAGAACGTTGGCCAAAACGACAAACGACAGACGACGGACAAAGGACACCGGGAAAGGGACGAGAACTGAACGTTTGTGTCGTTTGTCGTTGGTTGCCCGAGCCACATTCAATTGCTGCCAACTGCCAACTGCCAACTGGCGACTGGCGACTGAGCCAGGGGCTGGGGGCTAGCACATGTGTCTGCTGTAGCGGGCGGACGCCACCTGTAAGGACCTGGCCAGGACCTGGCCAGGACCCGAGCATGCAGCTGGCAAGAAACTGGCAGAGCCAAGTGCCTGACCACTGGCGTTCACTCGCTGTCTCCTGCCCCTGACTCGTTGCAGGCCATGAAGATAATTTACAAAACCGCACAGCGCACACTGAGCGGCTGCTCCTGCTGCTGCTTCTGCTTGTGCTCCTGCTGCTGCCCATCAGTCAATCAGACGGTCGCAGTTGGGCAGGGGCTGGCACTTAGCTAAGGCTGCCCCGTGCCAGACTTAAATTAGAGAGCATTAGTGAGTAAGTTTTGTGGTTGCAATTGAAAAACGCGTCCAGCTCTTAAAGCGAGCAGCATTGTGGCCGACACTTCATTAACGTGGCCCGAAGCCGTTGCCCGTTGCCCGTTGGCTCTTGGCCAGTTTAATGATCAGCAGCTGCAGCTGCACTTGATCACAGCTGCCGCTGGGCAGCTACAGACTTGCATTTAATTGCTCCATGCGAACATTTTGGACGCTTGCCAGCAACTCGGTGTGTGTGTGTGTGCGTGTGTATGTGTGTGTGTGTGTGTGTGTATATGGCTCGCTTATCTTTTCAGCCAAATGCCTCTGCCTATGTCGCTAATCAAATTATGAAAGCCTTGTTAACAACAACAAGCAGAGCGACAACATT